GCTGTGCCACTGAGCTAAATCCCCAGCCCACACAATATATTTTTGTATAAAGTATAGACACACCTGGCTTTTGGAGAACTTGTGCAGAGAATGTGAAGGCTAAAGAGTAAAATGTAAAAATTAATTTGTCCTGAAATTTGGGATTGTAGGAAATGTGCTATGTATGTTTGCAACGAGCACAACGAAATTTCCCATCGTACTACAGTGAGGAGAGGAGGAAGAGAGAGATAGAACATGAACAACACCTGCATCAGTATCAAATGATGAAAGATCAGGAGGCTTTTGTCAAGCACCAGGTAGTCCAAATCCTCGCTTAAAGAGTGTTTAGTATGGGGAAGAGGAACATGAGTATCAAAATCTACTTTAAAGTGTTCCAGCATGCTGGGTGTGGTGGCACTCAGGAGACTGAGGCAGGATAGCTGTGAGTTTCAGGCCAGCCTGGGCCACATAGTGAGACCCTGTCTCAAAAACTAACAAACAAACAAACAACAAAACCCAAAACAAGGTATTCCATCATATGCCTATATTATCTAATCATTTATATCCTTGGCTGAAACTTAGGTTGTGCCCAGTTTCACTAATAATAACCCACTTTGGAATAAATATTCATGTGGATCCATGTGTGCAGAGATCACTGATTTTTTTCTCCCACAAGGACTGAATTTTAAAGGTGGAATTTCTGGATTTGTACTGATTAATTTTTTATTTCTAATAAAATAATAATCCTGTCAAAACTTTTCCCTTTCAAATTCATGGCCTATCTCAAGCAAGCAAAGACATAACAGCATCTTTATGTTTGCTCTGGCCGGATTTATGTGGTCTCCAGTAACTGACTCTACCGCTCTTTTCTGAATTGTAATGGAATCTTCCATTCCTCTTTAAGATTGTTGCCTAACATCCAAGAATAGGAAATAAAAACCTCCCCTAACCCACTTAAATCTATGAAGGTGTCGGAAGTAGCATCGCCTTCCAATAGGTTTCTTAGTTGGGCTATGTTAATGTTATAAAATTAAAAAGTTTAAGGACTGTACTTCAATTGTGATTAAAATTTTAAAAATTGTTTTGTAACAGATGAAAACTTTGGCAACTAGAGAACAGAATCAGAAAAATGCTGCCTATAATCTTGGAGTTGCTGAAGCTATAAGAAATCACAAGCACGAAAAACCGGAATTTTATGTAAGAGTCCCTCTGAAACTTCTGTTGCTAACAGTTGCTGTCTTTGGAGCCACCTTGTTTGTGTTATTTTAAAGGTTTAAAGGTTGTGTGAGATTTTAAATGGCAGAGTTGAAAAGTGGGTTTTGCAAAGGGGAAGCTTTCTTTTAGGGCAGCTGCTGTCCAGCACCGCAGCAGTTACAGACAACTCCTATCAGTCACTGCAGCTCCTGTTATAGTCATTCTCAGCTAAGACCTGGGCATATGGTGGAGGGCAGAGTACTGAAGTTCAGCCTTCGGAGATAAAGAAAGAGCAGCATTGCTGCCACCTGTGAGCACGCTAGGACTTCAGACTCTAGGGCCCTTCCCAAACTTTCAAAAAGGTGAATCATGCTGAAGTAAGAAGTTGAAGCACGAACCCCGAGTGACTTAAATGGGCATTAAGTTTTGAGAAGCTCAGCTTCAGATGGAGCCACCTGCTTCACTGATTAAATACTTTCAACCACGTGCCTAATTTTACTTCTTTCTGAGTTCTCTTCATATACCACTATCGAGGTAGTGTGACATTCTACACATAAATCAGTACAATATGTTTTCTACATCGTCAAACATTTATTAAACTCCTCTGGACCAGCCCCTGTGCTGGCAGCTAGGAATACAAATTGCCTCTTCTAAAGAGATCTCAGTGTAGCTGGGGAGAGAAGCCCGAAAGAGACAAGAGTATGAGATGCTAACAGCTATGATACATCTTTGAAGAGCACAGTGTCTGAGCACAGAGGAGAGTCACTTAATGCAGACAAGAAATTTGGGAAGGCTTCTTAGCGTACAAGAGTTAGGTGAATCCAGGTATGGTGGCATGCATCTGTAATCACAGCATTTTGGGAAGCTGAGGTAAAAGGATGGCAAGTTTGAGATCAGCCTGGGCAATTTAGTAATTCAGTGGGAGCCAATCTCAAAATTAAAAAAAATTTTTTTAAAAAGGGCTGGAGGTGTAACTCAGTAAAAGGTCCTGGTTTCAATCTCTAGTACCACACATAGACACAACATTAAGAAGTGAGAGGAGGGGAAAAAGAGCATTCCAGGGAGGAAGGGGGAGAGCCCTGGGCTTTCTGCAGTTAGCTTACACATAAGCTTATACATAAGACCCAGATTACATTATTACTATCCATTTTGCAGGTCTTCTTTGGTATATCCTATATAAATTTTTTTTGAGTCTGCTTTGTAGTTCAGACTGGCTTGAACTCACTGTATAGCCCAGGCTGGTCTCAAACTTGTGGTGATCCTCCTACCTCAGCCTCCTGAGTGCTGGGATTACAAGGCATGCACCACCATGCCCGGACCTAGACATTTTAAATTTAAAAAGACCAAAGCAGAGCTTCTGATTCCCTCCTCATCCCGCTCTTCCCTGTCTTCCTGTGTAAATGGCAGCACCCTCCAGTCAGTGGCACAGAACTCCCATCTCGGTGTGACCTCAAGTTCCTCTTTCTCTGTCCTCACATGCAACCATCTCCAAGTTCCTGCCCCTCTCAACCCACTTTCTGTTCAGATCTCTTCCTCTTCAGTGTTACCACCCTAGACCAAGGCATGACGTTCAACTTTTGCAATACCTCCCCGGTTACTTATTGCTTACACTCTGATGCTTTTGCAATCTTTATGGCAAAGTGAGCTTGAAATATTCTTACCTCAAACCTGCCCCCCCCTTTGTTTAATTCCTCTAAAAGCATCCCACTGCATTTCACTGAAACCCAAACTTTTGGCTCTGCCCTAAATGACCCTACCTGATTGCCCCTGCCTTTCTCTTCAGCTCATCAGCTTCTCCTTGCTCGCTGTGCGTCAACCCTGCAGCCTCCTTTATGCTCCCTCAATATGTCTCTCTTGTTTCCGTGTAGCATCTTTGCACTTGCTGCTCCTTTATGGGACTTGGGGCTCCCTGGTTTGTGATTTAGTCCTCTACATGGAAAGCCTTCCCTCAATCAGCCAATGTAGTCCTTTTTCTACCCAGTCTCTTTGCTGTGATAAGGGCTTCAGAGCATTTTTCACTACCTTAAGTGATTCTGTATACTGTATACTTGTCTCCTGCTCCAGAATGCAAGTTAGATGAGAACAAGGTCTCTAATCTTGGTCCTTCTTGGATTATTGGTGTCTAGAATAATCAGGCCCATGCACATATTCAGTTCTTTCTCTTTCTACCTCCTTTGTGTTCTTGTTCATGCTTCTGCATGCTCTCAGAACTTCTTTTGTCCATCTGAGGGTTGTAAGTGCTACTCAGAACTTAGTCCATTAAATCCTTTTTCATGGAATTTCTGTCTCAGAAATGGGGCTCTGAGCCTAGCTCAGCTTCATCTTTGAACATGCCCATATCATTCTTTGGGTTAGCTCAATCCTAGCTCTTTAGTGTATTGAGGGCTAGGCAAATACTAGAAATTAAGAAATACTTCCTGACTGATTTTAGTCTTCTGAATTATTAATCCTTAATTATTAATTAATTATTAGTCCATTTTTTGAATGTCCATAACAATGAAACATAATAAAAATTTTCTTTAAGTTCTTGTTCCTTAAACGTTTCTAGGTAACATAAATAAATTTCATGCAAATATTCAGAAAATTTCACTTTTTGGCATAAATGGGTTAACTTTAATCTTTGAGATTTTACAACAAATGAATTGTTTCTCTTTTATTCTAGAAATCTTTTCTATTCTATAAACGGCCACTTAGTCCTGAGATTAATGCTCTTAGGCAAGAAGAATATTCCCAAAGTCTCCTGAAACAAATGGATAACAGACGGGAAAAGGAAATAACGCAAAGACAAAACAGAGAGTTGATGGACCGCCTAGAACAAGTGCAACTCACAGAGGAGTGAGTCTAGCCACACATGCTCTGAAAAATGGTTTCAGAATTTTTGTGTGAAGTTAATTTCTATGTAGGATTGAATCAGTACTGATAGTTTCATTAATATCTCTGTAACCAATTGAACAAACTAACCCAGTTAGTAGCCAGTACCATAGCATAACTTTTCATTAGAAAAATTAAAAAGCCATCATTATTATAATTAGAGTAATGATTGCCAAGCTATAATTATTGCAATTACAGAGTGTCATTTTGCATTGTTTTGCACTCTCCAATACTGGTAAATGGAAGAGGAACTTGTCTTGAGAAGGCATCATTCCCTGCTATTAGATGTAAGGCAACCTCATGGCAAAGCTGAGGTTTAATTATAAGTAGATGAATGGAATCTGACAGCAGAAATGTAAAGGGAACTCAGGAAGGACTGGAACCAGGGACTAGAAAGGCCAGGTAGAGTGGCATTTCCTCCTTCAGATCCACAGATTCTCAGCTGACATTGTCTCAGATTTGGAGAATGTTAGCCTCAATTCTAAATTTTCAAGAGAACATCTAATTGGTCTTACTTGGGTTTTCTGAGACCTTGGGTAGCGTCAGGGCCATGGAGTTCATGTATACTTACAAGGGGACCATATTTCTACTACTGAAGTCAAGAGAGCAGTTGTGGAGGCTACCAGGGTGTGAGAAGAGACTTCTAAGACAGATAATAAGCTGGTTTTTGTGACCATAAAAGTATATGTCTATTACGTACACATTCCATTAGTCTTACTTACTAGGTCATACAGTTTTCCTAGAAGTTGTACACAATAAATCATCATTTATAGCAGGATAGATTACTTCTCTTAAAAAGGACTGTCCTATATTTATAAGATGAAATCATGTCTTGCTTTCTTACCTATATTTGTTGAAGAAATGGCAGGGATGGGCTGGGGGGGCTATTATTTTAGCAGTACTTGCATCTTATGGGCAGTCACCTGCTTATACCTATCCTATCTGTCCTGTGTTCAACATTGTCCACGGGCCTGTGGAACTGAATTACTTTTTCTTTCTTAAGATTAAAGCTCCTAGAATGAAAGAGAAATTTAATTTATCATGCTCTCATTCATGTTAATATGAGCACTTGCTGAATATGACATTATTTGATGACATTAATCTATATTACTAAAAATTTTGTAAAATTGTTTCCACCTTATCCTGTTTTTAAATGCCAGACTTGCTGCACAGAGAGCCAAATATTTAAAAGATAAGATGGAAGAAACACAGTGCTATAAGAAAGCTTTGGATGCACAGGTAAGGGGACAATTATTGTTTCAAGTGATGGTGCTTCAGTGGCATTCTATAAGCACATTACACATTGTAATGTTATTAATACTCTTACTGTTGCTTATTGGGTGGAGTTTGGCCCCCTTTACTTCCTGTAAGTTATTGGCATTTTATTATATTACAGAGTTCTGTGCAAAATTTATTCCCTGGTAGAATTATAATCTGCACCATGTATGTCCCTCTTTCAGATAAAGAATAAAGCCTTCCAGTTGCCCGTATTTGAACCAGACTCTTATGAACCCATCTTCATTAATAATGAGGATGAGCTGAAGGTGGAAAGGCGAAAGCGAGAACAGAATTACATGAAGCACCAGATGGAGACAGCTGCTAGTCGCAAGAGGAAAGCCATCCTGCAGCAGCTGATGGATCAGAAGCGGGATCTGCAGATGCTTCATAGGACAAGGACAGAGTAAGGATCCCCTGATTTTCCTGCTCTACCTTTGTTTCCTCCTCCTCTCTCTCCTCCTCCTCCTCTTCTCCTGCTCCTCTTCCTTTCTTCCTTTTCTCTCTCATCATTGCCGTCTTTGTCATCTTCTTCTTCCTCCTTTCTTCTTACTCTTCTTCCCTCCCCATCCTCCTTTCTCCTTCTCTTCTGTCTTCCTCTCCTTCCTTCTTCTTCCCTCCCTCCCTTTCTCCTCTTCCCTCCCTCCTTCCCTAGCAGAGAAGTAAGAATAATACCTAATACATTGAGGGTTTAGTTGTGAAAGACATTGCTCTGAATTCATTACATGCTTCATCTTCTTTTATCCTTAACAAATCATACTACGAAGAAAAAATTACTAAATAATAAATCCCTCTTGATTTCACTTTCTCCTCCAATTCCTTCCCCATATGTTTCTTTTCCTTTATAGTACTGCCTCTTAAAAGAATTGTACATATCAGCCTTATCCATTCAAAGTACAGTGTGAACCAGAAATGTAGGGTCATAATCAGGCAAACTTAGACCTGAGGTGCAGGCCCTTTCTGTTCTTCCACTGACCTCTGCCCCTAGGGTGAGGGTGCTGGTGAAAGTGGTGGAACAGGAACAGGAAGACTATGCCGTACCAGTGCACATATGTTTAAATTCAAACATCACACATCCAGTTTCTTAAAATGCCAACTTGTCACTTCACCACTGGGACGCGGTGGAAGCTTTCTTTTTGGAAAAAAAAAAAAAAGCTTTTTTGGAAGCTTCCAGTGGGCTCTCAGTTTTGCAGCAGCTCCACGTTCCTTTCCAGCCTTTTCATTGTCCATGTATCCTGCTTCCTACCTCCACCCCAGGTTGCCACAGCAGACTCCAGTTTCTTCTTTGTGGATGTTCAGTAATTCTCAGATCCTTGATTAGCCAAAGATATCAGTGTATCAGGGGTTCCAAAAAGGCTTCTGTCCAAAGGACCTTCTGTTTAGGAGGTAGTTATATTTATAAAAAGAAAAAAGGTTATTTGCTAAGTTTTTATAAACCTGCTAAGTGGTTAGTGGGCTAGAGCTTAGAGCTGGTATATTCTATGCCAAATGGACACAGACATAAAAATATGAGTAGAAGGTAAGTTAAAGATGAGGGATCTGGTGATAGGTGTGGGGTTTAATAGTTGGTAGAGAGGGTTGGGTGGTGAAGCACATGACTTCTGGAGTCAAGTCTGAGGTAGGAGAGTCTTGCATGTTCCCAGGGCAGTGTGTATTTATATGTCTATATATTTGCTAAAATATTGAAAGGTTTCCCTGCTTATTGGTAAGTAACTGTTGTCTCAGACCCCAAGTGCAGCACTGCTGCCCAGACAGCTTCAGCCCCTTCCCTGGTGCCACCACTCTGATCTTTCATCTAAAGGATAAAAACCCAAAGCCTCCAGACCAGTCCCAATGTCCATTCTGATTGGCTGGTATGGTTCTTCCATTTTACTAGTTGGGTGATGCCGGGCATGTTACATACCTCTGAGAGCTCTGGTTTTCTTCTCAATTAGGGATAATACAAGTAACTGTCTTTGGGATGATGATGGTTACATTAAATATGGTGACTCTGTAAACAGCTCAGCATAGTTACTGGCTCAGAGTAAGTTCTCAGTCAAGGGTAGCTATTGCTGTTATGGGAGAAGGAAAATGAAGAAGAGGCTGTTTTTTTCCAGATCACAAATTGGCATAATTATTCTGTTAGATCAATTTAAATAGGTAGGAGTGTTCTTATTTAGGGTCCTCCCAAGATCTGACTGCCCACAGATAATTATTTACTCATTCTACTGATCTCAGGACATAACTCTTAGTAATTCTGAGCATTTTACCTACAGCAGAGGGAGCCAAAAGCTTTTTGAAGAGGAGAAAAAAGTGCTTGCAGAAAATAAAATGTGGTAGTCTGTTGTCTGTGTAGGAGGGTGGTGGTGTGAGAAGCTTTTGAGAGGGAGGCAGAGCTGTGGGGTGAAGAGCCGGTGATTCCATATTACACTGACAACTGCAAATGCTTGTGGTGCAAGATAATGCCCATGCCTTTTACTATTCCTGCGCCACAGTTCTGAGTGTCTACAGAAATTGACTGTAGTGTTTTTCCCTGAGCGTACGATTTTATTTTTTAATGTTCCACGGTTTTTAAACCACAAGAATACTGCTGGCAGATTAAAAGATTATAATAAAAGGCTGTGTGGGCATTTTGATGGTGAGGAGGAGAGACGGCTGCAGTATAAAAAGATCTGTGAAAGCATAAATATGCCTAAGGGGAGGCAGACCTTTCTTACTGATTCTTACTCTGTTTGTCAAAACACAACTTTATTGAGATATAATTGACACACCTTGAACTGCATGTAGTTAAAATGTACGAGTTCCTAAGTTTTGCTGCATGTGGACACCCAATCATGAAAGGTTACCACAATGAAGGTAACGGACATATCTACCCATCCCCTCCAGAAAGTTTCCTTGTGCCTCTTTGTAATTTCTCCCTTTGCCCTTCTCCAACACCATCTTCAAGAAACCACTGATCTGCTTGTACATTACAAATTTGTTTGCATTTCCTAAGGTTTTATATAAATATAATCCCAACCAACAGTGTACAACAGTTTCAGTTCCCCCTTATCTTTGTGAGCACTGTACATAATGTCTTTTAAAAAATTTAGCTGTTCTAAGAGGTGTCTGGTGATAAACCCATGCTTTAATTTATATTTCCCTAGTGACATATGATGTTGAACATCATTTCATGTGCCTGTGTGCCATCTGTGTATCTTCTTAGGTTCAATGTTTGAAACATCTGTTTAAATCTTTTCCTGATTTTTTCATTGAGCTGTTTTTTTTGTGGTTTTGAAAATTCTTTACATATTCTGTGTACAGATCTTCTATCAGATATATTTGTAAAAGCCTAATCATGCCTGAGCAGAAGATGACTTTTTCATTGATTTTTTAAAAATTGCATTCCTTAGGAAAGGATTCCACTCCTTTTTAGCTTCTGTTGTAAGTAGTCTGTCAGCCATGGTGGTGGTTCCACGGTGGTTCTGTGAATTCTCCCGTAGCCCAACTTGTAATACTTTGCAGTACTGCTGAGATCATTGTGGCTTCCTCCTCTGCTTTTAGATGGTAGCTTCTCCAGTTTTATCTCCTAAACTTGGAGTGAGGTCACTTCCAAGTTGTATGTCCTGGGCAATATCATATATAGGATCTCAGAGTCATCTTTTCATTGTATGAAAATAAAGGATAATCACACTTGCCTTACCCATCCTTGCTGTAAGAATGCTATGAAATTATGTATATGAGAGCATATATAGTTTATAATGCTTTAACTAAATGAAGGCAATGGCCTTGGTTATCTCTTTTGCTGGAACTCTTGTTGTAGGACCTTCTTTTCAGTCTGGGACCGATCCTTGTTCTTCATTTTATATCCTTTATGGATTATAGATGATTTTATAATCTACATTAGATTCTCTTACCTCATGATTTTCAACTCCTCATTCCTTTTCTGGTTCATCTGAAGATGTGATTTTAGGTGTTCCTATATCAAATACAAAGTTATTATCTTCCAGAGGGATTTAGTTAGTTTGTTCCAAACAGCCCTATGAAGATATTTACACTTATTTTACCTTTTTTTTCTTTAAACATTTTTGCACTTTTTTGTTTTTTTTTTTCTGATGGTACTGGGGATTGAGTCAAGGGCCTTATGCTGAGCTACACCCCCAGGGCCAACATTTCCCTTTGATTCGGTTTTCTGTTTTGTTTTGTCTTTTTGAGACAGGGTCTCGCTATGCAGTTCAGGCTGGCCCTGGGCTCACTTTGTAGCCCAGGCTTGTCTTGAACTCACAATGATTCTCCTGCCTCAGCCTCCTGAGTGCTGGGATTACAGGCGTGCACTGCCACACCTGGCTGAGCTTCTTAAAAAAGTAATTTCTTCCCATTGAAATAAGTCAGTTGATGAAGACATTAATAAAAGGTTAATAATCTCCACCACGTTTTCCCCCCTTTCTTTAAAGATATATTCAAATAATATGCACACATACATTTTCCTTCCATTTCTGTAAATGAAAATGAAGTCTGTGAGGTCTTCTGCATTACCCTGCAACCTAACTTTTAACTTAGTGTATCATTAATTTGTATCCAACTCAGTACATATGTATATGCTAAATTTATTCTTCTTTAATAGCAATATAATATCTATAATATGGATGTATTACAACTTTTGCACTATTGTTAAACATTCACTTTGTTTCCAGATATTTTGCTACTATAATAATTCTGTATTAGACATTCTTTAAAATTTGTTTTTATTGACGATATTTGTACATATTTATGGATACAGTATGATTGTTCAGTACATGTATACCATGTATAATGGTCAAATCAGAGTATTTAGCATTTTCATTTCTTTAAACATTTATCCTTTGTATGTGTTGGAAAACTTCCAACTCTTCAAGTTATTTTGAAATAATGTCATAAAATGTTTTAGACTATAGTTACACTTACTAGGATAAAAACCACCAGAACTAATTCTTCCTGTTTGTATTTTGGTACATGTCACTGCCTTCCTCTCTATCCTTTTCCAGTCTCTAGTAAACTATTACAGTTTCTTCTATGAGATCAACTGTTCAGCTTCCACAAGTGAGTGAGGACATTTAGTATTTGTCTTTCTGCTCATGACTTATTTCACTTGACACAATGTCCACCAGTTCCATCTCTGATGCCATAAATGACAAAATGTCATTCCTTTGTATCACTGGAAAATATTCATTATATGTTTATAGCACATTTTATGAATCTGTAGATAGATAATTTGGGTTGCTTCTGCATCTTGGCTATTGTGACTAGGGCTGCTGTGAACATGGGTATCAAATATTTAAGATTTTGCTTTTGATCCTTTCTCCAGAAGGAGAAAATTCTGACTCTTGCTACAGCATGAATGCACTTTGAGAACAGTATGTTAAGTAAATAAGCTATTCACAAAAGACAAATATCGTGTGAGTCTACTTAATGTAAGTTACCTAGAAACACCAAATTCATAGAAACAGGAGAATGGTGGTTCTCAGGGGACTGAAGAGGAGAAAGGAGTTGTTCAGTGGGTACAGAGTTTTAGTTTTGCATGTCGAAAAGAGTTCTGAAAATTAGCTGCCCAACATGAATATACTTAATACTAAATAAGTACATTTAGGATTAGTGGTAATTGTTTTAAAGCCACAATTAAAACTGAAAAAACTATATGAAAAAAGTCATCTTTCGTCAGTGAGCTCCCATGATATGATGGGCATTGGGATTTTTTCCATATGTTATCATTTAATCTTTATATTAACCACAAAATAACTGATGAATCAGTGCTTGTCAGATGAAAAGGCAGCTATGCTGTTTTAATAGGAAATTAAATTATCCAGGAGGGGATAGTACTGATTTTTATCAAGGATTCCGAGACCTAGTGGCTGTTGCTAGTTCAACCCAAAGCCCTTCAGTGTAAGCTAAATCAACAGTCACATTTAGTGAAGTTCTGGGTTCTTTAATAAGAACTGTTGATAAAAGCTCTACATTGATAAGAAATAGGCTTATGGTGATTCACAACAGTAGTGATTGTGTGTTTAGATCCAAGTGATGGAAACAAAACATTAAGTATAGTGAGAGATTACACTCAGGGAGATTATACTGCAGTCCCTGCTTTGCTGACATGTACTTCACCACTCAGTTTTTCCCTTAACCTCTTTACAATATTTTCCCTGTTTCCTTTTGTTTAGTCACGTCTACTCCTTTTCCCCTTTCTAAACTTTGATCTGTATGCATATCTATTTTGTCTTGTAAAGTGCCTGCAGGCTGATTACTGACAGCTGAGAAGCTGAAATCAAAGGAAAGATACAGTATAGGACATCTGTGGGATGATTCTTCACATGAATTAAGTTAGCTTCAAAGGAAATTAACATCTTTAAAGTTGATGATGTTACTTGAAAGAGGATGCTATCTTGCTGATTTAAATCACAATTGAAGATGAAAGGGCCTAGACCTGAAAATTATTTGACTGGGAATTATACCATGTTTTCACAGTGTCCATGCTTTTTAGTATATTTCAAAATTGGTTAGCAAAACCTGGAGATTTTTCCATTTAACATAAAAGGCATGGGGCTCTCACCATTGGTGGAATTATGAACAGAGGCAGACTGTTCTTTTCTCCCCAGGCACTTAGCAGACAGAACTGCTGAGGTGGAGCGAGTGAAAAGGATCAACCAAAGCTTGCAGGAGGACTGGGAAAGGAGTGCTACTATGAAGAAGCAGCGGGACCTGGAGGAAAAAGCTTTTGAGCGGTAAGAAATTATTTGAACCAGAAGCTCTTTGTTTGCAAAGACACCCCCACTCCCACCACCTTGTTCAGTTTCCTCTAATGCTGGGATGACGGACAGGTTTCAAGTGTCAAATTCCAATTGATTAGCAATGGCTGCCTAGAAAATATTATGGAAAAAATAAGTCTGGGTTCAGTAAGAAATATTGCAGTAATTGGATGCCACGGGGTTACCAGCGCTGCCCTAAACTCTGCCTTTTCTCAGGGTGGCTTTATTTTCTATTTGTAGAGGGTGGGGATTGTCTTTGAAAAATAACTGTTTGGAAGCAGGGAGATTGAGTTTCTGATCTGAACACTTCTAAGGCTTATTTATGTATGGAATGGTCATTGAAGAGCAAAGCCACCGGGTTGTGAGATTGACAACTGGAAAATGAGATGCCCATTCTTTTAGTCACTCTCACCACTGGGATGCAGCATCTTTCTAATAACCACACAGTAGCTGGAGAATCAATGTTTGTCAGATGAAAAGGAGGCTATGCTCTATTTTTATTGGATGATTCTGACACCTAGTGGCTGTTGTCATAACTTAAAGGAGGAGAGGTTTATTTTGGCTGGAGTTTCAGGAGTTTCAGTCCATGTTTCGCAGATTTAAACATAGAAACACTGTGGTGGGAGTCTCTGGGTGAGGAAAGCTGTCACATCATGGCAGGTAGGAAGCAGAGAGACTGAAAGCAGAAGCCAGGGAGGGAGACTAACTCTTGCCCAGTGACCTGCCACTTCCTTGAGCAGGCCCTACCTTCCAGCAGCACACTCAGCGGCTGAACTCACCAGTAGCTAATGAGAACTCACACTGATGACTGCATTGCCTCTGTGATCTAATTACCTTCTACAAGCCCCACTTGCGATATACAAGTGGGGTCATGGCCTCCGGTGTGCTTAGACACCCCTGAGCTTTAAAGCAGTCTGAGTGGTTCCCTACATGGATCTTGATCTCTTTCTTTTATTTTATTTGGTCTTTTTGGGACAGGGTCTCACTATGAAGTTCAGGCTGGCTTCAAGCTCACTTTGTAGCCCAGGATGGCCTCCAACTTGCAGGGATCCTCCTGCTTCAGCCTCCTGAGTGCTGGGTTTACAGGCGTGCACTACCATGCCTGGCTTGATCTCTTTTTAAAAAAATATTTTTTGTAAGGTATTTCTCACCTGTCTTTCTATTTTATGGCTATGAAAGTATAAGGGATGATATAGAAAATAGGTTTCAAAGGAGAAGTGGGATTGTTTGGCCTAGACAAAAGAGAAAAGGAAATTGGAGAGTTCAAGCCACATTAGCAGTGTTTGGGAAAATAGGTAAATAGCATTGAGATTAATGCCAGGGAGACTTTGATTTAGTAAGATTGTTTGGCCAACACTGTGATAAAGGATGGATAGAAACAATCTCCAGTAATAGCTTAACAAATCTGTGCAAAGGACATGGCAGAGCAGATGTGTTACAGGGGGACCAAGACCAACTTGTGGGCAGGGACTCAAGCCAGCAACAGGTAGTAAGAAGAAAGTGGTTGAAGTAAAAAAGCCAAAGCAAGGTTCACATGTATGTGATGAGCAGACGCTATTTGTCCCATTACAAATGCAAATCAGGTAGTTCTTTACCCACTTGCAAGGCTGTTTTTAATTCACTTTATAGCCCAGGATGGCCTTGACCTCACAGCAATCCTGCCTCAGCCTCTTGGGATTATAGGCGTGTGCCGCCACACCCAGCAAGGCTACTCTTGATGCTATTTAAAAAAACAACAAAAAACCAGAATTCTACCCTTGAAGAAATTGTTAAGGGCACAGGGGAGCATGCCAGGGATGGCTTGCATAACTAATTGTCAAAGTGGAGAATCATTCACTGCTGTCTCTTTTTATCTCTGCTTTCAGGCACTTTTGTCCACCTCTTTGTGGACTTTCTCCCCTGCTTTAGATTCTCCAGAGGCTCTGTTTTCCTGGGCCTTTTTGTTACAGGTCTACTCTTACTGCTCTGCATTCTGTTATCTATTCACTTGAAGCTTAATGGCCTGATCATTCTCTGTAGCTCATCTTCGGGAGCCTAAGAAGTGGAGGTGCACTTAAATGGCAAAACAACAAATGCAGAAGCTTTGCTGGCTGTATGGCCTGAGGCATCTGTGTTCTCAGTGTAGAGCTGGACAGAAGGGTAGAGTCAGAATGATGTGAAGGCGCAAAGTCAGGGTTTTTGATTTAGTGGATGGGAGACAGTGGAGGTTTTGAAGCAAGGGATGCGAGGATCTGGAGCAAGCTGCAGGTAGTAGAGCGGCAGGGAGGGACAGAGAGATGCAGGTGGGTTACAAGCTTCTTCAAAGAGGATCCTGGTGTTGCTTTCTTTTTATACCCCTCCACCTTGAAGGCCTTGGGAAGCACCAGATGACTGCTGCTTTTGCTCTCCTCCTGTCAGGGCTTCCGACAAGCTGTTCCTCTTGGACCAGTGTGAGAAGTACCCACGCTGCAAGCAGTGCCAGAAGCGCATCTCCAACATGGGTGACAGCAACCTGTGGCCCACGAACAAGTTCTTGCACGGCTCCCGGTTGCTTGTGTAAAACCTGAAATTTGGTCCTACAATTCATGGGGAACTTTAAAAAAATCTTTTACATATTTGGAGTGATTATGAAACTGCATATTCATACCTCAGAGGAAGAAACATTACTCAGGTTTGGTGCTCTCAGTGCGTTGCTTTAGCAATCTGTTGCTGGATTAGTTTCTGTAGATTTCTGTTCTTGTCTTCCCCTCACCCTTACTTATTCCTGTTACTGGCCTTTGAGGACAGTGAAGGTATCTGACTAGTTCTGAGGGCTAGAACCTATTGCCACAGGGGCCAAGAACGGAATCCAGCTTCGTGCTGACTGCTGCTGACCCAGCCCTGACACCCCCTCTGGGACTACATCCTTTTTCATCTATAATGGGTAATACCTTAATAAATATTTTCTAAGTATCTGACTGTGCATGATAATTTAAAATGGTCAACTTACCCCTTGGCTGTCTTGCTCAGCAATCTGTGTGTATGTGTGTGTGTGTGTGTGTGTGTGTGTGTGTGTATACACACGTGCACATCATAGAAATAGGTCAGGCTATTTATCTCAGGGGCTCAAAGCAACACTGCTGGGGTTTTCTGATTGATGACACCACTGGGACCTGGTCACTGCCTGAAGGATATCATTGCTCAGTGGCCTCCTGGGTAACATTCTGTTGTCCATTTCTACCTCCTGATCACACACTGATTGTGGGAATAAGTATGTACTGTGAAGGGGGTCTGGGTGACTCAACAGCTAAACCTCCCATCCATTCAAATTTAGCCCATTACCATTTGCTCCAAAACATTCACCAGGGGTGCTTACAGCTGTAGCTTTTGCCCTGGGGTGGATAACTCACGGATTACATTCTAATCTTACCCTCAAAATTTGCCACAAAATGTTTATTACTATTTTCACACTGCTCTAGTATATTGGTAGTCTATGGAAATAACATACATCATTCTATTGATGGCATTGTTTTTAATAGTGGTATTTCCATTTATAAAATATAGTATTTAAATGACTGCTGGCAGCGAGCTGCACTTTTTGTCTTCTAAATAGGAAATGTGAAGTTATTTGTACCACTGAAGAGGATTTCCCATCCTGTCAGAGGACTGGGTTAAGGTATGCTCAACCAAAGACCACCTCCTGCATCCCCGGAGCATTTCTCAGGCTCTAGTATATAATAAATTACTATCATAATATTGTCTTAATATTAGTTAAAATGTAGACTGCTTTGTTAAAGAAAAAGACTTTAGGCAATTTTGGTATTTTCAAGTCAACAGATTTAATGTCATACACATTTTTTTTTACCAAAGCAACTAAATTTTTGATTTATTACCATTGGTAGTAGTACTGCACTATGTGCAGGGCATTAAGCTAATTTTTTGATGACTTGGAGATTAAGATCTCACCCATCTCTACCTGCCTTTAAAGCATCATGTAGTGTAGAGGTGAAATGTGACTAGCAGTTCTTTAATAGTGTAGTGGCACTGTGCATTTTTTGTTATAGATGAACATGGTGGACCTCTTGCTGTTCCTTAAAAAAAGATAATTTTATTGGTCTGGTTAAAGAACCAGCTTTTGCTTCACTATTCTCTATACCTATACAAATATGTCTGCTCAATATCACTGGTTTCTGCTCTTTATTATTTCCTTCTGCTTGCTTTGGCTTTAATATGACCTTTTTCTAGTTTAAGGAGGAAACTCAGGTCATTGATTTGAAACTATTTTTCTAATATAAGCATTTTTTTTGTTTGTTTGTTTTTCTCCGGTACCGGGAACCGAACTCACAACCTTGTGCTTGCCAGGCAGGTGCTTTGCTGCTGAGCTAAATCCCCAGCCCCTCTAATATAACCATTTAATGCTACAAATTTGTTTCCCTCTATGCACTGTTTTATTTGTATCTTATAGATTTCAATATGCTGTATTTTAACTTTCTCTTAGTTTCAAATATTTTCTAATTTTTGGACTTTTGATTTCCTCTGCTACAGTTTATTTAGAAGAACATTGTTAATTTTCAAGTTTTTGGAGATTTTGCAGATATTATTCAAATTTTTGGAGATTTTATAGATATTCAAATTTTAGAGATTTTATATATTTTATTGTTATTTATTTCTAGCCTAATTATATTATCTGACAATGTACTCTGTATGATTTTATTTAAATTTAAATGCACAGAATACCTTGCTGAAGATTCTGTGTGTATTTGAGAATATATATTCTATTGAATGATGTACTATTAGTTAATTAAATTAAGTTGGTTGCTTAGGTCTTCCATATTTATGCTAAGTTTAATATGTCCTTGTTCTATCAATTACTAAAGAGGAGTGCTGGAATCTCCAAATATAATTGGTCTTCACTCTCTTTTAAGTACAAGCTTTGATTAATGTATACTTTGCATTATGTTCTAGTTTTCACAATCTGTAAATTTGTGTCATTTACTAAATTTTAGAATTATTCTAATATTTGTTTCAATATCTTTCTCTTCTTTAGTGATTCCAATGAAATGCAAAATCTTTGACATAGTTTAAAAGGTTTCTGAGGTTTTACTAATCATTATCTTCATTTCCTTTTCTCTCTTTTTCAAATAGGATAACTTCTATTAATCTATGTTCAACATTACAAATTTCTTTGTTTTCTTGAGATAGTTGTTTTTTTTGGTACCGGGAATCGAACTCATGACTTCAGGCTTGCCAGGCAAGTGCTTAAGCTGCTGAGCTATATACCGGCCTGAGATAGTTTTGTTATGTTGTCCAGGCTGGCCATAAACTCCTGGATTCAAGTGATTCCCTTGCCTGAACCTTTTGAGTAGCTAGGATTATAGACATGTGTCACCACACCCACCTTTACATTTTTTATCAACATGTATTAATTGTATGTATTAATAGATTTCAGTGTGTATTTCCATACATGGATTTAGCATGCACTGCTCAAATCCAACCTTGTTTTCCACCTCCCTCCCCTTTCTCAATCCCTATTCTATTTTCAGGTTGATATTTTTTAGCTTCTGTGTTTCTGTGACTGGATTAATTAACATAAGGCACTCCAATTTCACCTCTTTTGGTGCAAATGGCAGGTTTTCATTCTTTACGGCTGAATACTGTGTTGTGTACATATACATTTTCTACATCTATCTGTGTTAGCTTTCTGTCACTGTAACTACACACTTGCAGTAAACAACTTATGAGGAGGAAATTCTTTTGGCTCATGGTTTCAGAGGTTTCAGCCCATGGCTGCCTGGCTCCAATGCTTCTGGGCCTGCAGTGAGGCAGTATGTCATGGTGGGAAGTGAGTGATAGAGTACAGAAGTTCATTTCATGGTTGCCAAGAAGCAAAGGAGAAGGGAAGGGGCAAATGCCATTTCCTTTATAGGCAGGATTTGGAAGGGGTAACATTATTTCTCTTCCTGTCCCTTTGACTAGAAGTTAATCACAATGGCTATACCCCATTGCAAGGGAAGCTTGGGAAAGGAGGTCTCTTGCTCAGTGGACATGTATGCAGTGAAATATTTAGGAAATACCAGTATCAAATTTAGGAAACAAAATAGATCTTAGACAACTATTATTTTTCTATGACCTGAAATTTGGTGTGAAGGGAGCTAACAAAGGTGGCAAAATTTTTTTTTTTTTTTGGTTTTTCTCCGGTACCAGGAACCGAACTCACGACCTTGCGCTTGCCAGGCAGGCGCTTTGCCGCTGAGCTAAATC